GGGATGGCATTCTGGGTGCCTCCTACCAGTGCAGTGCCTCCCTGCTTGCTACATTGCCCTGTGTTCCCTTCTGGTCCTTGGTCCCTGGTTAACTGGCCTGGCATACCCCATCTGCTTTCTCTCCGTCCTTCAGGATTCCCAGCACACCTGGTCCAAGTGGCAACAGGCAGACCCAGGTTTGAATCAAGCTCAGTCCGGCCCCAGTGTGGGACTTTGCCTGGTTCACACAACCTCTCAGAACCTTGGGTCCCTCACTGGGCCTGCAGATAACTACCTAACCCCACCTCACTTGCATGTCTGGAACCTTCCCCAACACAGCCCTCTGTTGGTTGTGCCGCAGCTGGGAGATCAGGCCATGGTAGTAAGCACCAGGCATTTCCCTGGTGGTAAAGAGCTTATCATGGTACCCCACCCCATCCCCATTTTCAATAGCTTTTTAATAGCTTTACTGAAATATAATTTACATATGATGCTATTCAACCTTTTCAAGTATACAAATCAATGACTTTTTTTAAGATTTTTTTTTTATTGGAGAATTGGGGGGATGGGAACAGTGCTGGGGAATTGGGGAAGGGGAACAGACAAGTTGCTGTCCTTTTGTTCTTCAGTCTAGTTGTGGAGGACGTTGCTTCACTGGCCCAAGTTGGCACCATCATTGTGCTCTTCCCGGGCGAGGCAGATCAATCGCCGGCTTCTGGACGGCCGCTCACGGCGGCTGCTGACCGCTCACTCTGGCTGCTGGCTACATACGGTAGCCCATGGCAACCCACTGCAGCAGGGGCTGCAGCCTACGCCATCACTGGCAACTCACGGCAGCCCAGCTCCAGATTGAGCTGTTGTTCAGCATCTTAGCTGTAGAGGGCAGGATCCCACATATGAGGGATCCGAACCGGGGCCCTCTGGCATCCCAAGCCAGTTCTTAACCATCGCGCCACTCGGCCGGCCCCAAATCAATGACTTTTAATATATTCACTGATAAGTGTCACCATCACCACAGTCAAATTTAGAACATTTTTATCAGTCCCAAAAGAAGCCCCATATGCCTTAGCTGTCATTGCCACTTTCCCTGACTCCTCCAGCCCCTGGAAATCACTAAGCTACCTTTTGTCTCTATGGATTTTCCTATTCTGGACATTTCATATAAGTGGAATCATATAATATGTGGCCTTTTGTGACTGATTCCTTTCACTTAACGTAATATTTTCAATACTTCATTCCTCTTTATGTCCTAATATTCCACTGTTGAATATACCACACTTTGTTCATCTTTTTATCAGTTGATGGACACTTTGGTTGTGTCCACTCTTTGGCTCCTGTGAATAATGCTACCTCTGCATTCTTAAACTGAATGTGCAAGAGGGAGGAGATTTTTCTTAAAAACCTCAATAAGTGCTACTCATCATTATGATGTTATCTACTATATTTAATAGACTTTATTTTTTAGAGTAGTTTTTGGTTTACAGAAAAACTGTACAGAAAGTGTAGAGAGTTCCCATATCCTCCTTACTCCCCACCCCCTAGTTTCCCCTATATTATTAACATCTTGCATGAGGGTGGTACATGTGTTATAATGGATGAGCCAATATTGACACATATTACTAACTAAAGTCCATCGTTTACATTTGGGTTCACTCTTGGTGTTGTACATTCTATACGTTTTGACAAATATATAATGACATGTATCCACCCTTATAGAACCATGGGAATAATTTCATTGCCTTAACAATCCTCTGTGCTCCACCAACTCATCCGTCCCTCCCTTTAAGCCTCTGGCGACTACTGATCTTCTTGCTGCCTCCATAGTTTTGCTTTTTCCAGAATGTCATACAGTTGGAATCACGTAGTATTAGCCTTTTCAGATTGGGTTATTTCATTTAGCATTTAAGGTTTCTTCATGTCTTTTCATGGCTTGATAGTTCATTTCGTTTTAGCACTGAATAATATTCATTTCTAATTCTCGTGAACTTTCTCCAGCCAGAAATGCCCCTCACCATCTTCTGGACTTCAGGAGCTCCTGCACTTGGCAGGTACCACTGCTGAGGCTTTGCAAGTTGGCTCTGTCCCTCCTGCTGTCTGCAGGGCTGGGGGTGCCTTGACATCCTGTCAGGACTGAGCCCCCTGCGTTTCTGTGGGGAAGGTGCCCAGTGAAGCCTTACGAGGAGGGAGGGAGCAAAGCAGTAAGGGGTGAGGGATAGAGGGAAGAGGTATTGAGATGGAGGCAGACAGAGTGGGAAGCAGTTGCCAAACCTAAGAGGCAGAAGTTGGGGGGCAGAGGTGCAGGGTGACCTAAGGCATTTTGCAGATATCGGTCATTGCTCCGCAGGTCTGGGGCCAGGCAGGAGGCAGACAACTTGGTCCTGCCCAGCCGTCTTTTGCCTCAAAGATGTATGTGGAGCTGAGGGACCAGGAGGCCGAGTCCCCATCCTCCCCAGTGAGAAACTGGGTGTTTTCTAGTCACGAGGCAGTGAGGAAGAGTCAGAGACAGGACATTGGCCTCCTGGCCTGGGGGTGCATGGCTCAGGGAGGCCAAAGGAAAAATACAATGGCTTCTGGTCCATGAAGTGTAACCAAGTATACAGAGTTAACATATTAACAAGTACAGGTTAACAGAGGCTCCCTGCTCCAACGGTACCTGGCAGGACCCCAAGCAATTAGTTACCTGAAGGCAGGGCCCAAGGACCAGGCACATCCCCCACTGGGACTCGTCCCTAGTGCTGCAGGACTAGAAGCTGGAGATAGTTTCTTCTTGGGCTGGCTCTGTGCTAGCACTGGCTGCAGCTGGTCTGTGGCAAGTGCGGAGCCTGAGGTACCCTTGAGATTGCTGGGCCACTGAATTTGCCTAGGCCAATGGCTTCTGGCCCGTTTCCCTATTTCTTTATCCCACAGTTACCGAGCCCTGCCAGGTGCTTCAAATGCCTCATAGCACAGTTAGGCTGCCAGGTGTGGGGAACCAGCTACCCAGAAAGGCTCCCTCTTTTTGGTTGGAAACCTCCTTTACTCCAGAGCATGTTGGGGTGCTTGCAATGACTTTCTGCTCCTCTTCTCCCCTCACCCCACCTCCTACCTTTCCCAGGACTTTGTAGCTTTGGGTCCTTCTTCCCTGGGAGGGTCTTGGTCAAGCCTGAGCTCCCTGCCACTAGGGTGAGAGGCTTTATCTGCACTGCCTTTGTTCAGGGCCAAGGTACAGGAAGTGGGGTAGACAGGAGACAAGAGAATGGAGTTGGGGAGGAAGTAGAGAAAGCCAGTGAGTCTGTGGTGGGCCACAGAAACTACTCCTCCCAGCAGGAAAGGGAGCTGTGTGTCCTCTCTTGTGAAGTCTGGGCTAGCCTGCAATTAGCTCTCGTCAACAGAAGGAGACAGAAGTGATCTCTAACTTTCCAGGCTGGGTCTGGACATAGACATAGATTTCACTTGTGCTCCTCGATGTTTCCTCTTCAGGCCAACTCCACGCTATGAGAAGCCCAAGTTGCACAGAGAGGTCCTGTGGAAGGAGTGTGCCATGTGACAGCTTCAGAGGAGCACCCAGCTGACAGCAGGCGCCCAGTGGCAGCCATCACAGACCAACCAGGTGAGTCTCAAGGTGCCCTCACTGCATGCCCTGCCATGTGGGAGAAGTGGGTTTCCCATGACAAAAAACACCAGGCTCAGGTCCCCAGAGTGAAGGAAGGTCTTTGGTCACCCTTTCAGAAGAGGAAGCCAAACCAGCTGAAAACTGGCCACCAATGAGAAGGACATGGAAAAAGGCATTAGAAGAGTGACATCATAAATTCTGGCAATGACCTTGTAATTAGAGTGTTGTAGCTTTTAATCTATATCCCTCCCTTTTTGTGTCATATACTAATAATAATTACAGTGGTAATAAAATGTCTTCTCTTTCCCCTTTGTTAGTGGTAAATTGACTATTTAGTGCACAGGTTGTAGAATATTCCAATAGGAGCCCGACAGAATGAGGGAGTATACATCACCCAGGTAACCCAGATGCCAAAACCAGTGGAGCATTTTAGAATTCCATGTAAAGAAAGGAGGTTGTGTGTGAATGTGGGGAGGGGCATGTATGCAAGGCAACCACAGGATGGGTTGAAGGGTATGTCTCCTGTTTGTTTTTGTCCTGACTCCTCCCTCCCTGCAGCTCTGGGAGCTGTACCTTGGGATCTGCGGGCCACTCCCTTACTGCAGGGGTGGTTATGGGAACCCAGCTATGCATATGGCAGGGACGAGGGCCCAGCCATCCCATGGCCAGCTGTCCTGCCTGCAAATCCTGCTGGCCCCCCTCACTCGCTTCTCCTTTTCCTGGCTGCACTCATACTTCAAAGCCGGATCCTGGGCCAAGTGAAGTGGTAGTTATGAGCTTCCCAAGGTTTTGCACTGCCTTGTCTGTCCTTGGTGGTTCACCGACCACTCCTGTACGGAAGAGAAAAGAGGGTAGACCGGGTGAGCCAGAGAGGAATCTGGTGGTATGCCCAGTGACAGCTCTGATGGACAAAATAGACAGCAAGAGGGGTGGGCTGATTGCCTAAGCAGGGTTGCCTGGCTCTCAGGGATGCTACTGAAAGGGATAGTGGTGGGCAAATGAAGGGCTAGGGGACTTTCCTTAGGCATCCTACGTCCTGGCCCCAGCCCCTGTCCCCTCCCACCTTACCCCTCCCAGGACAGGGTTCTGGAGGCAGCTCACCTGGATGGAATCCAAGCTCTGCTGCCTGGCTCTCTGAGTCTCCATTTCTTCATCTGTGAAATGGGAATCATACGGGCACAATCGTGCCAAGATGTAAGATGCCTAGCACCTCACCTGGGCCCAGGACACCTTCTCATTGCCCCCATCCTTCCTTTCTTGGGGGTCCTGCTGCAGGCCCTTGGGGAGAGCAGACACAAGGCACCCACAAGCATCAGCCTGGGTGATTCCCTTGTGTCTAGGGCTCTGTCCTGTCCTTCCCTGGGGCCAGAGCCAGTAGGCTGACCAAGGAGACAGGGCACATCCCACAGGTTGCTGAGGCGGACGCTCCTCCCTCTCCTTACTCATTAGTCAGGCTGCAAGGTGACTTCAGGCTGGCTGCTCAAGGCTGGGAGTGCTCAGGTGTGCAAGGTGGCCAGCAAGTGGTCTGGGCTTAGAATGGACAACCTCCAGGACACATTTTCCCTGGACCAAGGGGGCCGCTGCCCTGCCCTCCGCAGGCTGGTCCCCATTGGCTTTAGGGCTGAGGCGTGGAAGCTCTTTGTCCTGTCCGGACCCCTGGTAAGAGGTGTGGGGGTGGGGGTGGGGGGCAGTGAGGCTGGGGGCGAGCTGCTATCCAGGCATGACACGGGGTTTTCCAGGGTCTGCTCACAACCTTCCCCAGAAACTGACCATGTTGACCATGTCCAGGCTGTACCAGAGACTGCCGCCCAGAGCAGGTGACAGCAGGGTGCAGTGGAGCCTGGCCATGCTCAACCGGGATGGGTGTGTCGTCCTTCAGAAACCAGGGGAAGGCTGTTGAAAAGATCCCACAATGACAAGTGAGACTCATTGATCCAGGAGCCAGCAGGTGTCCCCAAAGAGGCATTTACAGGGGCAGAAGGGGCCCTCTGCCCATTTTATTTCCAATGTGAAACTGGCTTTAGATACATTTTTTCTGACCATAAAAACTATCAAATATGCACTCCCTGTAAAAGTTTCAGGCAAAACAGAAAGTTATAAAGAAGAAAGAAATTCATCTCTAATCCCATCACCTGGACATACTAAGATGTTAATGGATTTTATTCCACCTCTGTTTTGATTGGCTGTGGCCTGACCAAATGGTTATAATAACAACATCAACAGCAATATCGAATGCTTGCTTGTGTTCAGCTCTGGGAGTTCTGTGCTAGGTGTCTCTTGTGCACTCCTGCACTTTCAGGCAAGGAAACCAGAACCAGGAGGTTAATGCAGCTGCTGACAGCACAATAGGAGCAGCACTCAGGTCTCCTGACTTCCAAACCTGGCTGCTGTGTCAGCCTTAGCCACATGCTTGTTTCCCCGCGTGTGGGCAATTGGCCCAGTGGCTGTGAATGTTTTTTTGCAGGTCACGGGCATGCATGTGGGGCTGGGCTGTCATGGGTGGGAGCTTCGGGGTCGGTGGGGGCTGGCAGGCTGAGACAAGGCTGAGTGGCACCCTTGACCCTGGCTGCCACCCTCCAGTTCCTGTTCCAGGTGCTGTCCTTCATGATCTATGTCGTGAGCTCAGTGTTCTGTGGGCATCTGGGCAAAGTGGAGCTGGCATCAGTGACCCTCTCGGTGGCCGTGAGTACAGCCGGGACTGTGCAGGGATGGCCTCTCCTGGGCTTCTCCCCTGGGCTTCCAAGGATGAGACACAGCATGAGGGCTGACAGCTACATTCACAGCTGTGACCTGATGGGACACAGCACATGGGGCCAGGACCTGGCCAAGAGAGGGTCTCTGGCTCAGCTGCACATCACATCTGCTGCTGGGTGGCCTTACCCCAGAGGCAGGGTCCCTTCCTTGGGCCCCACCTGACAATCCTTGTGTTTTCTCCTGTGCGTGACTGCAGTTTGTCAATGTCTGTGGAGTTTCTGTAGGAGTCGGCTTTTCCTCAGCATGTGATACCTTGATGTCCCAGGTAGGTGGGCCTCCTAGAGCTGGGCAGAAATGGTAGGGGATGGAGGCCCCCCAAAGATCCCTCAGTGTCCCCTGGAGTTGGGATCCTGTCAAGCAGACATTGCGGGAGGGGGCAGATGCCCTCCTCCCCAACATATCCCAGGACCTTGTGCGGTCAGGGAACCAGATGCTCCCTTTGAGTGTGGGCAGACAGCCAAGAGAACCATGGAGAGAAATGGATGGAGTTAGCTCCCTGCTCTGGAGTGTCAAATGCTGAAGGTGCACAGATGGGAGCCCCCCTGCCTTCAGGGACCCACAGCCCAGTGGGGACTCAGGTGCCTCTGGGGTTTGGGGTTCATGGTGGACCTGGGTACCTGGCTCAGACCTGGCTGCCACTTACTAGCAGGGGGACTTGGCAAATGCTCTCAGAGCTCCCTTGCCTCAGCTGTGATGAAGAGACATGATGCTTTCCTCATTAGACACCTTTTAAGAACTGGGGACAGTGAGTGGACAGAAGCCGGTACTCAGTATATTGCTGCTATTATAATTTTGTGAGCAGGCTGAGCCCCGCAGAGGGAGTTGCCCCAGACTGTACCAAGGGCTGCCAAATGTCCCTTTCCTATCTCGTTGTCTAGGGTGCATTCAAACACCAGAGGCCATTTTTGGATTTGATTGGCCTTCTAGATTATTCTTGTGGTGTGGTTTAGCTTTACAGTGCATTTCATAATTATTTCCTAAATAGGAAGGACAAAGAAGCAGAAGGTAAGTAATAGCTACTTCCACATGTAAAAAAAAAAAAAGTAAAGATCTGCTGTTTATAATGTGAACCAAAGATGCTACCTCACTCAATTTCCGTTGGTGATTTTAATCATATTCTTTGGTATGATACCAAAGAATACCAAAGTTATTACCGTGGTTATAGGCACTGCTGACCAGTGCCTACTGTGTGCAGGGGCCATCCTACAGCACTAGCACCGCTAGCAGGTTGATGCACTGTCTGAGCTCACCTAGGAAACAGGGAAGGTGCTGAGCACAGGGGTTGCTGTTTTTCAGAGCTTTGGCAGCTGCAACAAGAAGCACATGGGGGTCATCCTGCAGAGGGGGATGCTCATACTGCTTCTCTGCTGCTTTCCCTGCTGGGCGCTCTTCCTCAACACTCAGCAGATCTTGCTGCTCTTCAGGCAGGACCCGGATGTGGCCAGGTACCATTTGGCTCCTGCTGGGAAGCCAGGAAGGGAAACCCCAAAGAAGCCCCGACCCAGGCCCCATGCTTCTCTAGGTCACAAGAGCAGCTTCTCTAGGAATGGTTCCAGGTTAGGTTTTGGAATTCTTCCGCACATTGTGCTGCTCCAGTTGTGACAAGCAGGGGGCATACAAATGGCCAATTTTGATTTAGGAGGAAAGAAAAATAGGGATTTGCATGTTATTTGCATTTGTGCTCCAGGACTAGTTGGAACTTCACAGATGCTTTTGAAGAAATGAAATGTGCACTACCTTATACTCCAAAAAGGAGGAAGAGGACTGAACCAATTTCTGATGAATTGCAGTTTATTATTTTTAGAAACGTCCCCCATGAGAATGCCTTGTTCATTTTATATTATGTGCACTTTATTTTGTTATTTCTTGATAAGATAGAACTTTCCCCCCTTACAAACCACTCCAAATTACTCCAAATTTAAGTTCCCTAATCATGAGGCCCCTGTGGTTGGGTTCTTGGGGTCCTCCTGGCATATTTCTGGCATGTGGTGACAGCACCCTTGACTGCTAAAGTTCCACTTGTTTTGATGGAGATCTGCAGGGCCTGGGAAAGCCTCTCCTCAAACCCTGGGTGCCCAGGATGTCCCCAATTAAGGAAGCACAGCCTGATCAGCTTCAGAGCTTCTGGTTCTCTTGCAGGCTAACCCAGGAATATGTGCTGATTTTCATGCCATCACTTCCGGTAAGTGTCACTGCCTGCTGAGCCTGGAGGAGGGCGGAGTTACATTCTCCCAAATTCTGGCTTTTTGCCTTTCCACATTATCTGCTGGGAAGTCCATCAGCTAGCAGTGACTTCCCACTGTGCCATGAGGATGGCTGAAGAGGCAGGAGAGGATGACCCTTCCAGTCAGTGCAGATTGAACTTTTAAAAAGTAACAGAACATATTTTGTGATTAGAAAACCATTTACTGAAGAAATTATAGAAGCCAGGGGAAGAAAAATTTCAAATCACCTATAATTCTACCACCCAGAAAGAGCATAGGTTAACATTTCTTTTCAGGATTATTTCTATTCATAGGTGTGTGTTTTAAAAACACATACATACATACAGTTTGAAATGGGGTCAATGTGTGTATATTGTAATATAACTGCTTTTTCCTTTTCAAATATGTCATTGGTTTCTTGATATGATTAAATAGCCTTCCACAATATCCATTTCGAAGGCTACATAGTATCCCAGAGTGCCATACATAGTTTATTAACCAAGTCCTATATGATAAGTATTTAGGTTGTTTCCTATATTCACTATTGTAAACAAGATTTGATCAATATTCTTGTAGAAAAACTTTGTGAACATCTATAATGATTTCCTTAAGATAGATTATTGTAATTGGAGTTACTCCTCAATGGCTTTTGATACCAATTTGTACCAATTCTACTCCCACTGGCAACACTCTCTTCAGCACAGAGTGGTAGTATGAAATTTTTTTTCTATCAGAAATAAATTGTTTTAACATGCATTTTATTGCCAATGAAATTGAATATGTTTTTTATATATTTACCGATCATTTGTTTTTCTTCTGTGAATTGTTTATACCCTTTGCTTATTTTAATGAGTTAATCTTTTTCTAATTATAGTAACCCTTGTTACTATAGTATCTTGATACTATACTGTACTAATAGTATCTTGAGCCTTTGTCATATATGTTGCAAACATTTTTTCAGTTTGTCACTTGCTTTTTCATTTTTTGACATTTTTGACTTAAAGGTTTTTTAATGTATACCTAACAGATCCATAAATCTTACTCTTTATGATATCTGTCTTTGCTGAGCTTAAAAACACTTACCACATCAAGATTATATAAACATTTGCCTCTTTTTTTCTTTGAACCCTTTTATGGTTTCCATTTTTACATGTAATATTTTAATCTACCTCACAAACTTTTTCTAAGATGAATTATCGACTATTCCTTTCTTTTTTGTCTCCTTGAATTCACCAAGTACTAAATAAGCAGTGTGTCCACTCTGGTCAGTTTCTGAGGTTTCTGGCCTAACCCAGCGATCTGTATGTCTACTCTGGAATCCAATGCTACACTATTTGATTTGTTGAAGCTTAGTGACACATGTTATTTATTCCCTACCAGTTCTGTATCATTGATGGCCTTGCCAGCTGGAGTTCATCCTCCAATCTCTGGCACTGGAGCACCACTTTATCCTTCAGCCACCAGGGAGTGAAGTTCTTGAGAAGGGAGCTGGAAAGGGGATGAGTCGGTGAATTCAGGGTGCCTTAAAGCATGCCCAAGTCTAGCAGGGTGTACCCTGGCCACACCCACACTGAAATGACAGTGCCATGACCTCTTTGGGGCCCGGCCAGCTCCAGATTTCTTCTGTATAATGGAAACCACCTGAAAATGCTGGTGTTTCACCTCCAAGTCTTCCCTAGTACCCGTGCTTTAGCTCTTTAGACCAAGGTGATGGTATCTTGTAAAATAGGGCCATTGGGGCTGGGTCAGGGGAAAACATTCTATAAAGTTATCACTGTGGCAACTCCTTATCAAATAAAGCAAGTCCTTCCCACAAAATGCTGCAAAATTTCATTACCAATGAAATAATAATAATACTTACATAATGCTTACCTAACACTTGGAATGCTTAAATGGGCCAAATACTGTTTCGTGAGCACTTTGTATACATATGTGTATATAAAGTATATACACATTATTATCAACACTACAGATGAGGAAACATGCAAGAGAGGTTATGTAAATTGCTTAAAATCCCACAGCTCCCAAGAGGCAGAACCAGTATTTGAACCCAGGAAGTGTAGTTCCAGTTCCATGCTCTTAATCATCACGCTGCACTGGAAGGCTAATGGAAAGGACAGGGCAGGAAGGTACAGGCCGTGGACCAAGGCTTTGACAGAGGACAGAAGAAGCAGGGGCAGTGCCCCCAACACACGCACACTGACATACATGGCCCTGTCCTCCAGAGACAGGGAGGTTCTACCCGCCTCCATGGGGCCTTAAACTTGATCAGCAGAGGCTGATGGCCAGCATTGCTCAGTTCTCACCACTCCCTCAATTCAAGGCCACTCTCTCCATATTCTTGTCTTTAGCAACCAGAGCCAGGCCCTGAGGTGGTTACAACCTGTGAGTTTGGGCTCTGGTGTGTCCTCTCTGCACAAGCTTCTGAGTGGCCTTCCTAAACTGATGGCAGCCAGAAGCCCTGCCAGATACTCTGCCTCTTTCACAAGCCTGCTGAAGCGTGCTCTCCTCAGAGCCTAGCTGTAGGGTTCCAGACATACTTTGGTGAAGTTAATTGCCCCAACTCAGATATCTAAGAAATATCTGTTAATATTTGTCTGGTATTTTTTTTTGTTTTTTATATATAGTTGTTGTTTATTTGTGTGCCTATGTGTTTTATTTTACACAGGTGATTTTTTTTTACAGCCTGCTGGCAAAATATTTGCAAAATCAGGTACAGGTCCCTGATTGAGGGGTGGTCCCTCTCCCAGCATACTGCCCTATTCCAGTGGGAAGGGGCACCTGGGGCTTTTCCTCTCTCTGAACCATCTGTGAAGCTGCCATGCCATGTCCTGATCTCTGGTAGAGGGGCCAGTGAGGAGCTGCATGTCCCCAGCCTCTTTCCAATCCTTAAATGTGCCCAGGCTTGTCCACACCCCTTTGGTCCTGCCCACCCTGTAGCAAGGCCAGTTTTCATTTATTTCAGGAAATCATCTGGCCCCAAGTCCTCAGTGGTGTCGTGGGCAACTGTGTCAATGGCTTGGCCAACTATGTCCTGGTTTCTGTGCTGAACCTGGGGGTCAGGTGAGGCTGGTGGGCATTGGGGGCTTGATCAGGGATCACTGTCCACCAAGTGCCCCACCTCTGACTGGGGCAGGTTAGTCATCATCTTTGCCTCACCCATGAAAAAATTTGTGGAGACTGCCTGTGCCGTCCAGAAGTGGGGGTCATGGGGATTTGGTCGGGACTCCCCACCAAAGAGACAAGGAAAGGAGCCACTCCCCATCCCTGCCCCTGCCTGCCAGGAGAGGCCAAGAGTGAGGACCTGGCAGGATAGTGTATTAATGGTGCCAGCAGCACTGGTGGCTCCTGGCTGAGGCCAATTCTGGGTTGGGGGTGCTGGGTGAGCCATGCCTATGCCCCCTCCTCCCTATGCTGGCTTCAGCAGAGGAGCCACTCCTCCCCAGGGTTAGAGTCCGCCATCAGCCCCATTCCTGCTCTCTTTCTTTTCCCAGGGGCTCTGCTTACGCCAACACCATCTCCCAGTTCGTGCAGACCATCTTCCTCTGTTTCTACATTGTGCTGAAGAAGCTGCACCTGGAAACATGGGCAGGTGGAGAGGGCTGCCCTGCCTTTAGGCAGGCCCCAGCATGGGCGTAGGGTGTTCCTTCAGAAGGCAGAAGGCCCAGGTGGAGCCCCATTTGAGGAGCTCCATCCTGGGCCTGCCTCGATTTCCCGTCAGGGCCCTTTTCCTCTTTGCCCCACCCCTCAGCACCCACATCCCCAGAGGCCCCAGGTTCTCCTATCCTGTGTGTCACAGTGCAGAGCCCTGCAGGATCAGGGAGCTTTCTGTGGGCAACTTGATCTCAGGATGGTGATTAGAGTAATAGTAATAACACAGGTAAAATCTTAGGTTTCAGCAGTGGGCCAAGTGGGCCAAGTGTCTACTCCTGGCCTTAATTAAACTTCACAACACCTTATTATTCCCATTTTATTTACCTGGGGAAAATTGAGACAGACAGAGATTAAGTAATTTGTCCAAGATGCCCGAGGTGATATGTGGTCAGGGCTGGACTCAAACCTCTGCCTGTACACTCCCAGGCTTTGGGTTCTGAGCTTTTCTGCCTCCTGAAACCTGACTCGGTAGCTTGGGGGCTCCATTTCCAGGCATTTCAGGAACATCTCTGGGGACCTAGGGCCTCATTTGTGGGGCAGGAGAGTGGCTGTACCCTTCTACAAGTCTGCATAACCCTCTGTCTTGCGAATCCTTTTGCCTCATTGATCTCATGCCATTCTCCCAACAACCCTTCTGGGGAGGCAGGGCAAAGATAAGGATTCAAATTTTCACTTGAGGAAACAAAGCCCAGATAGGACAGGGTAGTTGCCCAAGATCCTGTGGTGTCACAGGCATAGTGGGAACCCCTGTCCGTGCCTGGTGCTTGCCAGGTAAGCTCATGCCCTATCTGTGCATTCCCCTCCCACCCCACCAGCACTGGACAAGCTGGCATGCCCTGTGCAAAATGCCAACTGCCTGGACCTGCTGAACTGAGCCCTGGAGTGGGCAGAGCCAAAGGCCATCAGGGGCCCCTGGCAGTGGGAAGACATGCAGGGTGGGCCACTGCTCAGCTCTTGGGGCTTCTGTTCCTAGGCTGGTCCAGCCAGTGCCTGCAGGACTGGGGTTCCTTCTTCCAGCTGGCCATCCCCAGCATGCTCATGATATGCATTGAGTGGTGGGCCTATGAGATCTGGAGCTTTCTCACGGGTACGTGGAAGAGCAGGGTGGGGGAACCATGTTGGTGACTTACCCGGTTCTGAAGCCCTCTCCAAATGGATAGTTCACTAGCCTGGCCCAGGCTAGGTCAGTTACTCACTCGTCTCCCCACCAGGCTGTAAGCTCCCAGAAGGATTGCCTGTGCCTTTTGTGTCTGGATTCTAGCACTGCCCAGCATAGGCCTGGCACTGCATGGGCGCCCTGGTGGAGGTGATCGAGTCAATGAAGAACTGAGAGATTGAGTGGGCTGGTGCATGAGCGTGAGCGGGCATGGCAGGTGTGAGGCTCTCACCTGATATGGTGTTTGCTCATCAGAGCACTCAGTGCAGAGTCCAAACAGCCTGGGAATCAAAAGGCCAGTGCTGGCATTGTCCTGAGAGACCTATTCCAATTCCTGTCCCCCATTTACAGACAGGAAAACCAAGGCCCAAGAACAAGAGAGACTGTCCAGAGTCATGCAGTGGCAGAGCTAAGACCTGAACTTGGGTTTTCTGATCCTAGGCTAGTCTCTTTTACCTCGTTCACCATGCCTCATACTCTGAGGAGTTCAACTGGAAAGGCAGGCCATACTGGATAAGAGCCTGCAGAAAATTCCAAATTCCAAAATAACAACTGAGCAGGATTTTCCTGGAAGGCTGAAGGCCAAGCAAGAACATTTTTTGTTGTGAATCTGCCCTTTGAAATCATTTACTTCTTGGCCTCCAAAGTGGAGGGGCATTCTGTCAGCCCAGGGTCCCTTAACTGACCTCAGGGCAGGGTGCTCACCATGTGCTCTCCCACAGGCCTGCTCAGTGTGTTGGACCTCTCTGCCCAAGCCATCATCTATGAGGTGGCCACCGTAACCTACTTGGTGAGGCTTCTCTGGGGTGCCTTTGCCATACCTTCTATCTCTGCCCCACCCCCCTGTTGGCTTGGGGGTGTTGTAGGAGAGAGGAAGGCTATCACCTCAAAAGCCATCTCTGTCTCCTGAGGGACATTCTTGGACTTCCCATGCCCATCAGGCCCAGGCCCTGCCAGATTCACACACAGGTAGCCCACAGACACTCCACTGGGAGTAATGTTGGACTCACATGATGTCAGAATTTTTTTTGAATTAACACCACAAAAATCGGGAGATTTCATATCGAAATCTGCATTTTTGCATTTTCTTGAAAAATGGGACATTCCATTTAGCAGTGGGTCCATGTTCCTGCACACCCCAGTAGGAGAAAGCTGGGTGACAGCATCCCCTGGTGGGGGGGGAGTATTGCTCTCCTCCAGCATGGTCCCCAGTGCCCCCCCTCTTCCCCGAGACATGGGTTGTCCCATGTCACTCATGTACAAATCTGCCAGCCTCCTGGGGGCATGCAGCCTTTGACCCCAGGTTTAAACTAAAGATTCACAGAAATCTCCACTTACAAAATTAATTTATAAGGAGATTCTTAGTTTTACAAATGGTTTTCACTGATTTTTTTTTTCCTTACAGGGAGCTTTGCTGGCATTCTTAGGGCCACATTCACCCCCTTAAAATAGATTTACTCATGAGTTTTTGGTTTTGTGTTTGGGAACACAGTTTTTGGTTGCAAGGCCAGTCTGCCTGTGATGTTTGATGGAGTGGCGGGGGCAGGATTGACTGACTCACTTGGGCCCATCTCCCAACCTCATTTGTCACTGCCTGTTGTCAGCAATCATGAAATGCCCCCTCTCCTCATGCTGTGTCCCTGGGATCCATGCTCTCTCCCATCGTAGCCAAGGTCGGAGGGCTGGAGGGCTGCTCCACTGCTTCTTCCTGGCTCAGCACCCATGCCATCCCAGGAGCGAGAGGGTGCCTCCACTGACCATCTTATCACTGATCTCAGATTCCCATGGGGCTCAGCATTGCGGTCTGTGTCCGAGTGGGGACGGCCTTGGGAGCTTCAGATACTGTTCAAGCTAAAAGATCAGCCATCTCCGGTGTGCTCTGCACAGGTGGGTGGTGTCCTCTTCTGTGGGGGTGGGAACTTGGAATAGCAGAAAGTCAAGGGCTTGGGCCAGAGAAGGGCTTGGCACTTTGGAGGCTGGCTGACTTTGGGAGTGGACAGGTTTACCTTCCAAACTTGTTATACCTGCCATCTGACCCAGAACAGCCCCTGCTGATGAGTTGATGGGAGCCCCCCACTTTCCTCCTCCCCACAGCAGCAAACATCAATCTGCCTGCCATGCCCATTCTCTGCTCCTTCCCTGCTGCTGGGGTTCCTGGCCCCTTCCCAGGACAGCTCTACAGTTTTCACTATTCACCTTTGTGTGACCCTGTGAAGGCCTTTCCTCCCCAGGCTTCTCCCTCCAGCCGTCCAGGTCCTCTGTAAGCTTGCCCTCCCAGCATCCCCAGAAGCTTGGGACCTGCCCATCCCACCTCTCAGAAGGAACAATGTCATGTCCTCCACCATGGCTCTGATTTCTGAGGCTGACAGATTCAGACCAGTGCCTCTGTGGAGAACAATGGTTCACAGGCTTCAGACTTCATTGGAATCCTCTGGAGGCCGTGTCAAAACACAGATTGCTGGGCCTCACCAGGCAGAGTTTCTGATTCAGTAGGTTGGAGATGGGCATCTAAGAATATGCATTTCTAACTAGTTACCAGGTGATGCCAATGCTGCTGGCCCAAGGAATCCCACTTTGAGAACATCAGGAGGAAGGACATTTTATATGTTGTCATTCCTACAGGACTGCAAAAGAGTGTCTTAAGCCAAACGAATGGCTCTAATGCAGGGGACTTGAGGCTCCTGGGTGTGGGGGGCTGTGCTGACTTGTGTTGACCTAAGCTGGGCTCCTCCATGGGCTGGATTCAGCCAAATGCTCTTCCTTTGTATCTTCCAGTTGGCATCTCGATGGTTATGAGCACTCTGCTGAGCATCCTGAAAAATAAATTGGGGCATATTTTTACCAATGATGAGTAGGTAATCAGTTTTCTTCCCTGACTTCTGGGAAATGTCAGAGTGGTTTGCAGCCAGTCCTCAGAGACTTGTCACATGCATGGCTCGGTGCTGGGTCCAAAAGAAGCAGGACTAGCCCCGGCTTTGCCCTCACTGAGAGGCCAGCATCTATGCTTGTTTCCCCAGACCATGGCCTCCTTGCTTGCTCAGAGACAAGATACTAATCTAAGGGCATTTCAAAATTGGAAGCTCTTCTCAAATTTAAGAAGACTCATAGACACACAGAAACTCAGAGCAGGGGTGTCAGGTTCATGTGGCTGATTTATGTTAGTTTCCCAAAATTTGGGGGCGGTGCTGTAACAGAAGGTGTATAACTGGGTCTCTAAGAATGTAGTCATGTCTTAGTGCTCCAAATGAATGTTCTTTCCCATTTCCTCTGCAGAGACGTCATCGCCCTGGTGAACAAGGTCTTGCCGATTTACATTGTCTTTCATCTTTTTGAGGCTATCTGTGTGAGTACCACTGATGCACCTGTGCTACCTGAGGCCTCACAGGGCTGTCAGGATGAATTCATCAGTACATGGAAAGGGCTAACTGTACAGTAAATGCCCAAAGTATTTGCTCATATCAGTTCTATTATTATTCAAAACAATGACTCCCCTTGCCTTCTGCAATTCCAACATGCCAAAAGATGAATACAGATTAGCAAAAAGCTGAAAAATTGCACCAGTGTGAACTCACAAATCCTTTTCCTTTCTTGTTACTTATGAGCTGGGGCTACAGGCACTGGCCCATATCCCTGACTGGCCAGGAACTCAATAGCAATCACACCCTGTCACCAGTGCAAAGGGACATTTCTGAAAGGCAGTGAGACAACTTACACCTTCCCTGAATTTTCTGCTCCTTTGACCACTAAAGGACAGGTCCCATTTAGTGCTGGCTTGAATTACCATATTTTGCCGTGTATAATGCACACTTTTATTGCCCAAATTTGTGAGGGAAAAATAAGGATGCGCTTTATATGTGGGTAGTACTAATTCTGTAGCTATATAAATGTTTTTAATTCTTTTATTTATGCTTATGAGTTAAAAGTGTAATAACAAATAAATGCTAAAGTTCCTTTATTATACAAAAAAACAAGTACCTAAATATAAACAAATAAAAATTTGAATTAAAAAATTGAAACGAAAGTTTTTTTCCCCTGAAAATTTGGGCCAAAAACATGGGTGTGCATTATACACGGCAAATACAGTATGTGAATTTTAAAAAGCATGATATAGAAAAAGAAAACACTAACATCTTGTTTTATAAGCAGAATTTGAAATCCTGTTTTTTCCTTTACATCTGGAGTTAAGTGAATTCTTTAGGAATGCATCCTTGCATAAAACCCAACAGCTCTGCCTAGGAGTATGTGTGCGTGATTGGCAACACATAACATGTCCACTCGAGGCTATTCCTTGCCTGGGGAAAAACTCCTGCACAATAATTATCAATGCATGAAAAAAAAAAGAACCCATTGAGAGAAATTATATTTATATAACTATATTTATGGAGGATTTCCCCAAAGGACTATCCAGTTAGCTACATATTCTAGGATTTACCTTTGAATCTAGCCGGGCATTCAGAAAGCAGCATACTTGGAGCACGTGCTCGTAGCCTCAGCACAACTGCCTCCTCTCAGCTGTGTTTTGTCCTCATGTACATAGTTTTTATCACGGAATATTGAAAGAAACTATTTTATGGAATCTATTATTGCTTTTGTCCCAGGATATTGTTAGGACAGTATTCATATTTTTTCTCCTGACCACTGACACTGGTTGTGAATAGCGGTTCTCAAAGAATTACCATATTTCCCCATGTATAAAACGCACCCTTTTTCAAAAAATTTGGGGTCTAAAAACTGGGTGCATCTTATACAGTGGTTGCAGATTTTTTAACTTGCATTTCCCGCTCTTTTTGTGCTTGTTTTTGTGCTCATACAAGCACTGTATAAGATGCACCCAGTTTTTAGACCCCCAAATTTTTCGAAAAAGGGTGCGTTTTATACATGGGGAAATACAGTAAGTATACCTCCTCTCCAATGGGCAGCACTTCTCTGCTCACTTTGGCTACCAAGGAACTTGGAAGCAAATTGACAACTAGCAATTGTAAGGGGCCTTATAGCTTGTGAATCTGCCTTCTGTCACCTTTCCTCCTGGCTACATTTATATTATTCTTAATTTTCCATGGACCTTATTTTTTTATACTTTCATTGAATTATAATTTACACACCATAAAATTCATGCATTTTAAGTGCATAATTTAATCATTTAAATAAATTTAGAATTGTGCAACTGCCACTGCAATCTAGTTTTAGAATCTTTCCATCACCCCCCAAAATTTCCTGGAGATTGTTTTGCGGTCAGTCTCTGCCCCCATGGGCAGCCCCAGGCAATCCACTGATTTGCTTTCTGTCTGTGTGAACTTTGTCTTTTCTGAATATTTCATATAAATGGAATCATATGTAGTCTTTTGTGACTTAGGATAATGTTTTTGAGGTTCATCCATGTTATACCATTTTTCAGGACTTCATTTCTTTTTATGGCCAAATAATATTCCACTGTGTAGGTATAACACATTTTATTTATCCATTCATCAGTTGAGGGACATTTGGATTGTTTCTAGTTTTGGCTATTATGACAAAGGCTGCTGGGAACATTCTTGCACCAGTCTTTGTGTGGATGTATGTTTTCATTTCCCTTGGTAGAGTACTAGGTGTTGAATTGTTGAGTTGAACAATAAATTTATGTTTAACTTTCTAAGAACCTGCCAAACTGTTTCCCAAAGTGGCTGTACCATTGTACATTCCTACCAGCAGATTATGAGGATTCCAGTTTCACTACTTTCTTGCCAATTCTTGGCATTGTTTGTCTTAAAAAAAAAAAAGTTAATCAACTTAAAAAAAATTGAACATAAAATTGATTTCCCACTGTTAAAAAAAAAATTCAACTGAGTAAATTTGAAGATCTAATTGGCTTTATTAAGTGATTAATGAATCGAGCCACATCCTATCTGGCAATTAGAAGGGCACTCAGAGGACTTGTACAAAATGGAAGGTTTTTACAGGAAGAAGGGTGGGGCAAGGGAGCTAGGAACAAAAGAAGAGTTATTTCTGGGCCTGACATCTTTTCTTTGGGAGAAGAGAACTGGAAGGGTTTTTTTTATCACACAGATTGCCTCTTGTTTCTATGGGGGATAGAGAGGGCCCATGTGATCAATTACTTTACTGGTGCTTGACTGGAAAATTCCAGATTGGTTGATTAAAATTATGCTTCTGATGTCCGGAAATTAATGTGGCTACATTGAGACACAAATTATGCTTCCATCACAGTGAGTTTATTGCAGTGATGACAATGAGACCTGTAACATTGTTTGCTAAATAAAAAATAATAATAAATAAATAAATAAATGTATGCTTCTGGAAGAGATTGAAACTGCAATTAGGTCAAATATTAAATCTAAGTTTGGTATCATGGGCACGAGTGATGCCATTTTGAGCCTGTGATATTCTCTTTAAGACCATAAACCCCCTCCCTCCTCTCAGTTTCCTTTACTATTTACATTTTGTAGTAGTGTGGCATATTTGTTAAATTGATGAAAGAATATTGATACATTATTATCATTATTAACTAAAAGTCCACAGTTCACTCTTGGTGTTGTATATTCTATGGATTTTAACAAATGTATGACATGTATCCAACATTATATATACGAATAATTTCACTGCCATAAAAATCCTCTGTGTACCACCCATTCATTCCTCCCCTTCTCCCTGTGTGCCTTCTCCCCTAACCCCTGGCAATCACTGATATTTCTATTGTCTCTACAGTTTTGCCTCATCCAGATGTCATATAGTTGAAATTATACAGTATGAAGCCTTTTTAGATTGGCTTCTTTCACTTAGTAATAAGCATTAAAATTCCTCCTACCTTTTCAGAGCTTGATGGCTCTTTTCTTTCTTTCTTTCTTCCTTTCTTTCTTTCTTTCTTTTTCTTTCTTTCTTTCTTTCTTTCTTTCTTTCTTTCT